CGTGGCGCATCTTTTAAAAAAAACACTAACCGCGAGATCCTGGACGTACACGAGAAAAATAGAAAATACTGAGAGGCTCATTCATTATGATGCACTCGATAGAAACTTCCATAGTTCTACAGTCAATAATCGTCATACGGAATCTCAGTCATACACATCAATTCCATTTTAGATGAGCATTAATTTGGTATATAATACATTTTTATATCATCTGTAGTTTCAGCTCTGCCGCCTGGAAAAATATTATTTCCAACCGTGTCCATAAATCGACCTAAAAGAATTTCATTAACAATTTTCTCATCCTCATATTCAATTTACCTGATTATATCTGTTAGGAATGCCAGCTTTCCTAAAGCTTTAGTGAGGGTGTCATGCATGCCTTTTGTCATTTTTTCCTTAATTATCGTTGTTAGTGTGTCATGCATGCCTTTCGTCATTGCTTTTCATGTTTTTGGCTTTCCTTATCAGTGTTCCTTGATATAGATAAAAGGGAACTATTTTTTCGTTTTTTCGTATTTGTTTTTTTTTCTGACATCGGAGTCAGCGGCTTTTTGTTGTTGTGCGAGAGATTCAAATTAAACGTTGAACATAACAATATCAACTATCATCAACATGTTTCCGATCTTCCTGATAGTTTTGAACTGATATAATGTCAAAGCCGGTATTTTGAACTGGTATAATGTCAAAGGTATTAATTTAAACGACGAATACACAGTGCTTCGAATGCAATTGAACACAATAATACTAACTAAAATCACTATCAAACTGCAACCTTATGCCGCATCACTATTCTCCTTTATACTGGCCGCTCTTTTTCTGAATAGATGTCGTCCATTTACACTGTATTGACCATTGCCTCTCATCTATTGGTTTAATAAGTCAACAGCATAGATGCCGCACTGTCGCGGCAACCAACATATATTCACCGTTTTGTTTCTCCTCATCCACTCATTCAATATATAAGCAACTGATAAACATGATCCAATGTGCTCCTTGAATAATTTCGAATAGTTACGATTCAGAACATACCTGATGATGACTAATTAAGCAATAGTTGAAACGATCGTCGTATAAGCGCTTTGAATCTATTGTATGAAGCTCACCCTCATCCTCGAAAAAAGAATTTTTGAAGTGAAAAATATTGGTTAAAAATACAAATAACACAATATTTAAAAGAGCAGAATTTTTCTGTTAAAAGCAGAAGAGGTGGCAGCTTTGATCTCATGGTATCAAAGGCAATTGTAATGCCACTATACCATCTGTTGCTGCTCTTGGAATTGCATATCCAATTCCCACATATATAGTATTCCTTGCAACAGATGCACCGCTACCAATTGGCGTATTTTCAATACACCATTCGTACAAAACTTCACCATTCGTCTTGTTTAGCCCATAGAGACATCCTTTGATTGGAGTGTCTAATCTTCCTGGTGAAGTTCCACCTTGAACTAGAACAAGTTGATCCCAAACGGTCAATGCAAGAGAAGCGCTTGTTTGATGTACATTTGTTGTAGGATCAACTGTAGCCCACTTGACATCACCAGTAACTAGATCTAAGGCAGACCAACTTGCCTTCGTTGTTGTAGTTCCATTTGGCAATGTGTAATTTAAACTATCAGCATTGTTATTGCCAACATAGAGATACTGATCATCAGCCGCAGAGCCAAATTTAATTCCAGCGGAATGGGCACCAGGTGCAACTTGATTAGACCAGATAATTGTTCCTGTTTCAGCGTCGAAGTCAAACGCTATACCGGATTTTTGTCCAACAAACAATTGATCACGGTTTTTGCCGCCCAATTTATACCTCAAGTTTAGTTTCAATATCGGAGCTTGTCCAAAGTCACTATCATTTCCAGGATTAGGTGGACAATTAACATTCGGGTGACCACAAGCTTCGGTATATGCATTTATAGGTCCAAGATTTCGACTCCAACGAACAATTCCTTGGCTCATATCTAATGCTACAATAGCTTCACCGTAAGCAGTCGGCTGATCACACGGTTCAGAATAGAGAGTCAGATTGCTAGTGTCAGTCACACATTTTTGAACTAAAGCTGGTAGTTTATAGTAATTACCAGTTGCAATATAGATTTGATTACGTTTGTAATCAACTGGAAACTGACTACCCCAAACTGCGGCGCCTAAACAGATTAAGTTAGAAAGCGATAAAAAAAAGAATAATACCATCTGTTTCAAAAAGAAAGAAACTTGGACGTTTTTTAAATATATTTGTAATGAAAAGGCTCAGAAATTTGCAGTGTCAGATTCTGAACCTGTGTAAAAAATCGACGTAGAAGAATAAACCCGCAGTTTCGTTTATGCACATAATTATTCGTCTTATAAACTCTTCCATATACCCTTTTACTTCATAAACTTCACGGAAAGTATTTTATACATTGCACTTTCATAAACCGTTTAGGATATATAAGTAGTAATATACCCTTTAAAGGTTGATTAACGTCATAAACCACAGTTTCCTCCAATGCGTGTATTAATAACCTTTATCTAAGGGTTTATGACGTTAATCAGCCTTTAAAGGGTATATTACTACTTATATATCCTAAACGGTTTATGAAAGTGCAATGTATAAAAATACTCTTCGTGAGGTTTATGAACTAATAGAGTTTAAATTTACCTGAATATTCAGTTGTGGTTCCATTATTATCTGGAATCATTTTTGTTTCCCAAAGAAACGTGCCCGTACTGGCGTTCAGTGCAATCACAGATCCCTGAAATGTGCAACAAGGATATGTTGGATCAATTGCGAAGGATTCTTCAGACGATGATATGCCAATAAAAAGAAGACCATTCGCTAGTTGAGGAGTGCTTGTTAATTTAGACGTTGGATGTGAAGAAACGATTTTTTGCCATAGAAGTACTCCAGTGAAACGATCGAATGCTATGACGTAAGAACCGTGACCTGCTACATGTGTTACTATGCTGTCATCCGTTAGGCCCAAGATAATCATATTGTTATAAACCAGTGGACTTGTACGCGAAACATAAACATGACCATTGTTAATTATATCTGAGAGATTTTTCTGCCACAATATGATGCCATTGTGTGCCTGAAGGCAATAAAACACTCCAGTCCAGGTCGATACATAAACATAACGTTCATAAACAGTTGGAGACATTTGAACCGGACCGTTTAGTTTGGTGTACCACAGCTGCTTGAATTCGGTTTTGTGGTTGTTGGAGTTATAGGGAGTTTTTCATTTTGATAACGATCATTGTTATCATGTGGACTCCAGCCATTCCACCATTCTGAAGCATCGACATTGTTCCTAGTCAGCAGAGCGATGACGATCAACAACGTGTTAAGGGACATCATTTGTGAAAAAGAAGAACAATAAACAGTATCTAAAAGTGAAGATATTTCAGCTGCGATTGATTTTTCTTCAACGTCAGTAGAGGATCACCAGAGATAAAATGTTTCTCAATTTGTTTGCCTGCTCCTCTGTTTACAGTGCAACAGAGTTAAGAAACAGTTTTCACTGCAATTACTTTACCAAGAGTGACGGACTTGCAGATTTTTCAGATTAGTAAAGGTTTAACCCTACTTTCCAACATGCTATTAGCGTGTTGGAAAATAAATATAACGGATCAAGTAATTTCCCGTTGAGGGACAGAAATTGAGTGTGACGAATTTTGTTGATGAGATGTTTCGTTAATGCTGCAGCATTTATTTTATTGTGATCACAATGACAAACCGGAGAAGTAGCTTTACCGCTACCCTCGGTATGTGGTGTTCACTCCTAGTAGTGTCACATATGCAGGAAACCGGGGATGCCAAAGATGCAAAAGGAGATGCAGGACATACAAAAGGACTCTTCAAGATCTTTTTTGTAACCCCGCATCTCCCTCTGCAGCTCTGACATCCCCTATTTCCCACTTCTCGATTTTCCCTAAACAGATAAGACGTGTCGTGCTTTCTGCTTTTCCTCTGTTCTGTGTATCTGTTCTCGCTTCCCGTGGGAGTGAGTCATCCAAAAACAAACAAGTAACAGGAACAAAATTTACAAAGTTTCATCAAATTTATTCATCCTGATTGATCAAAACATCGTAATTGAATGCTGCCGAAAGGGGTGCGTGGTGATGGCAGGAATCGTGGACGTGGAGCAAGAGGTGGCTTCACACCAATCGATCAGACGCCAAATCAATGCAGCACCTCAAACAAACAACTTCAACAATAACAGCCAGCAAACTCATTCTCATTATCTTCACTGATACTCGAAGGTATTAAAGCAATAAAAGTTGAATTAAATTCAATATTGAAAACACATTTTGGCGATGTCAAAGTGTCAGATATCCAAGCAAATCGGTCGGGTATATTCACGTTACCAGCAAGCGACGTTAAATCATTTAACCGTCTGTTAAACGACCTGAGCAAACATATCAACAGCAATCGACAACAACAAATGGTCGTATATATTCCACGATCGATTCAAGGTATACTTGAAACAGACAAAACGGCTTTTGTCAAACGAATCGAACTCGAAATCATCGAAACTGAAATCAAAGAAACATTGACAAGCAAGAAGTTTGAATTTCAATCGGTCATGCGGCTGTTGAACAAAGAAAAAACACCGTTGAAAACGGCCAAAATAATATTCAATGACGCACACAATCGTAACACGCTCGTTCAGATTGGACTACAAATCGATGCAATGCATTTCATCGCTGAAAACGCCAATCAGAATAACAATCCACCATAATGTTTCAAATGTATCCAATTTGGCCATGTCGCTAATCATTGTAAAACATTGAAAAATGTGCGTACAAATTGTGGAGACGATCACAAAATTGAACAATGTTCTAACCATTATCAGAAGTCAATATGTTGCAATTGCAAAGGCGAACATTCAGCTACATCCAAGGATTGCCGGAAGCTCAAAGAGCAAAAACAACGTACTCAACAGACAATCGATCGTTATTCGTCCACAATATCGAAACGTCTTCCAAATCTACAGAATATTAACAATCGCGACCATTTTCCTCTGTTGACTAACTCAAGTTCAATCAATTCCACACAAACACAAACCATTGATGTTCTTACCGAAAAAATGCTAAATATCGTCGAATAAGCAAGACAACAAATCTTCAAATCTTTAATTTTAGTATTTTTGCACTAAAAACGGCAATCTTATCGTTAAGCATTAAGAACGATAGATTTTGAATGTTTATTTTCGTACACAAGAAAAAGGTTTTTTACAAAATAGAACGGAGCAACCCAGGACCGGTTTCGACCTTGCTCAAGGGTGTCTTCAGCTGGGTTATGGTGTGAAAGACTGTGGAGAAAATGAATGCACATACTTACCTGTCATTGTTAGTCGAATGATAACAACTTATCTTGTTTAAATACGGAGTTATACTCTTCTTATTAAAGAAGAAGAAAATAAAGCACATTTCTCTATGTATAGAAAGAACTTGTGTCCTTCTGTCTGAAAAAGGCGAAAATAAAGTCCATGTCTGTTTGTATCACGGTGAATAAGAAGGAATTGTATACCTATCGAAAACGAAGAAAAGAAAGCCTTGTTAGCCTGCTTTTCTTGAAAAAAACGCACACTCTGCTTGAACAAGAAATTTACACTCGTCGACAAGACTAAAAGAAGAAAGAACACTCTCGAGTATCCCCGGTGGCGTCAGGTGGGGATACTGGTCGAAATCTTGTTTGTCGAAATGGATCGATGCCACACTGGTCCGGTTTTTCGTCGATCGATCTGCTCCCATCCCAGAATCTTCCTAGTAGAGTGCAAAAACTTGAACAACAGAGGTGGTGGCGAGTGGTGAGAGTGAGACACTCGACAATATTCTAATAACGACAAAGAATTGAAATTCTTAGTTCATACCAGCAAAGTCAGCATAAGATGAGACTTACAGTCTATGGTTGTCGTCATTAATTTTGATATTTTTGAACTAAAAATGACAATAACAACAACAACGGGAAAGACATAAGTTAACACACATGACGAGAAAGAAGTATCGACCGAACATTGGAATATACAACCACGGTTACCGTGCGGTAATTTCACATGTCCGTTAGGTTAACCTCCATTATACTCGGCGGTGACTGCTGCGGTAAGCGGCGGTAATTTTGCGGTTCTGATGACATGGGATATTTGTACTAGCCAAATTTCTATTTTTTACTGCTAGTATACATAATAAACTGACTATTTTAGAATTAATTACTGGTAATTTTAGTACTGACCATTGAATATTTATACTGGTGATTATATATTTATATATTTTTTATTGGTCATTCCATCTATTTTACTGACCAAATATTATGTTCCTAATGTTTTTAAAATAAATGAAGCAATAATTGATACTTATTTTTGTTTGACAGTTAGTGAAGTTTTTATCGATTTGTGACATACTTTTTCAAAAGCATTGATTCCTTAATCGTTTTTTTCCCAAAACATGGGCGCAACAGGGAACAAAATTTGAAAAATCTACAACTTTAAAATTATAAGGCTTCAATGTTTAATGGTTTGATAGTTGGATAGCGTGGATAGAGAATGAAATTCTCTACAAACGTGATAGGATGCGAGGTTTTGCGATCACTTACTCATAATTTTATAAATCACAGACGAGCTATATCATCTTTACAAAAGAGTGTTTTGACTATAATGGAGTCACTAATGAGTAAACTAAATAAAAAACAAGCATGCACAAACATGAATCATTTCTGATAAAGTAAAAAACGTTTGATGGAAAGGAGCACAATATGTGCAGTGGTTAGTGATACGGTACTCCATCCTCATCATACGAAAGTTGCTCATTCTTTGTTCGATGAGTTTCAAAGCAAGATAAATATATTACATTATTTTCGGAAATGAAGGAAATATCTGTTTATATTTGACGGTGCCATATACTGCATCGGTTTGTACTAGCCGGACCATAACGCCTATTGTCCACGGAGAGCTTGCTAACGAAAACCCGTCACCAAAAAAGTAAGGCCTGAGGTTTTTTCCTGGTAACCAGACGACGAAAACCAACAAGGCTGCTCTTGAGCCTTAACAATAGAATTTTCGAAAGATAGATATAATATCACTGACGAAGCTATTAGAATTATAAATCAATTAGAGTCAATATATGACTGTTGTCCTTCGTTATATCATTTAAAAAAATTAAGAGCAGTCTTAAATAAAAATATTCCAGTACAAAGATGTGATTTAGGTATGTAAAATTCTGTAAAACTATAAACACATTAGAAAGTCTTAGGATATTCAGCGAATAGTTCAACTTCCTCAGAGTTAAATTCGACAATTGAATCTCCTGTACCCCCATATTCTTCCACCCATTGAATAGATCTTGTAAGCACATCCACATGTGGAACAAAGCGCTTAGACCGTCTGAGACACTTAATTCGAAGATTGCCTTGTTGCCACTGAGAACGAATATTATTAAGCCAGCATTGTTCTTGTAATAGCGTACCATCAATAGAGTCTGGACTTGCCATTTTTTTAAAAAATTTAGTCTAATAGGTAAAAACATGATCTTCGAGCGATTTCTCATTATAAGCAAAAGAGAAGAATAGATCGTTCCAATGAGAACGGTGGTAAATTCTTTGTAAAGATGTATAGTAGTAGTGCGATAAATCAGTTATTTGAGCATGAGTAAATAAAGGGAATAATACAAATAACCATGTAAAAAGCGGTAGGACAAACGTGGAGAAGAGTATCCTTCTCAAACCAGGAGAAGTAGTTCCATTCAATCTGATAGAATTTATCATAGCTACTTGCTGCCTAATGCTTATTCGAAATCGATTAATAATATTACCTCAACCTATTTTAGTTGTTACCCAATAACCAAGGTATTTATATATTTTTACCCATTCAGTCTCATTACCTCCACAAGAGATTCGTGGGATTGGATTCGGGTAATTAATAGCATGGGCAGAGAACATAGCTTGTGTCTTCATGTAATTAATACGTTGAACAGAAAGAATAGCATAGAACTTGAGCAAAATAAAGAAGTGATTTAGACGACGTTCAAGGTCAATACATTGTTCGGTAAATCGAATACCAATTCTTGCTGCAATTACCGCTGCTAAGTCATCAGCAAAGAAGAAAGACATTGCCATGCATAGAAATTGTTCCATATCAGAATGATAAGTGATGAATAAAATGGGAGTAAAGCAAGAGCCTTGAGGGCCACCTCTTTTCATTGGAAACCAGCGAGATCTTTTCTCCGCTATTTCAATAACGGCTCGTCTGTTATATAACCAGACACCAATCCACTTAATATCTGCTTTTGAGATACCCATTCTTCGTAATTTTCCTAAACATCCTGCGAACCATAATTGATCGAATGCGGATTTAAAGTCCACAAACA